GGCAAACGCGCCGGCTCAGATGCGAATCCCTCTCGCTTGTCTCATGAGGACGGCCAAAGCCTGACGAGATTTTACTCATCCGTGGACAATAAAAAGCAAAATAAAAAGTCTCCCCCGCATTGACACACGTGGGTGAGATGCCAGGAGGGTGACATTATGTTTTTGGCACGAGCGTCTCAGCCCCCCAGAAAGGCAACCCCCGTGGCACGACACGGGCAGGCCACCGCCACATACTTACCTGCTGACTCAAGAGAAAGAATGCAGAACCCCCACAAATTAAAGGTGCAACCAGATCCCGAGAGGATCATCTCGTGGAACGGCTCTTCAGGCACAGAGATTTACAATTGGGATCACTGTGGCGAAAACGCGAGATGATTTCTCATCACATTTAGGGCAAGGTTTATCCAAAAGAGATTGTGTTATCACTGGTATCACCTCAGAAATCTACCGGAGGGGATAAAAAAAGCCGCTCGCTCGGCTCTTTTGGACAGACCACCACGGACAGAGGTCCTCCACGCTCCACCGAAACCAATGGCAAAACTCTTTTAACTCCCTGGCCCTAAGTGCGAAAAGAATCTTCGTTTTCCTGCTCCCGCGTCGCATTTCATTTCTCCTCTCTGCCCTCCTTCCAAAACCGAAAGCGGCAGCAGCGGGGCCGATCGGATGATTTCCTAGATCGCACGCGGCAGTGGAAATCCCGAAAGAATCCTCCCGTTTTCAGGTGAAAAACGAATGTTTTACCACCTGTCTGGGAGATTACCGCGCGGTACCAGGGGCCGGGGTTATTTTCTTGTCGAGGACGGGGTATTTAAGGATGTGGTTGAGACGAGGCATTTTCTGTTTGACTTCAGTTTGACTTTCAGTTTGAAACAGAGATGCTGCCCTTCTTGTTAAACGCTTATCCCAGAAAGAGGGAAGGGTTTTCAGAAGCGTCGCCGACCTGCTCGCCGCTCGGCAGGTTCAGGATACGCACGTCACATCTGTTAAGGAGCCCGTGGTCACGACAGATGAGAAAGGGTTCCCCCTTCTTCACCGATTTTCTGAAAAAACTTCTGAAGCGTTCACTTTCCCCTCACAGAATGTTCCCAATATTCTTTTTTCTTTTTTTTTTTAAAGCTGCTTGTAACCTTAATTGCTGCCTGTATCTTTGGGAGATCAAAGGGAGGATGTCTGCGATTCTTTGTATTACTCACTGCTACTTTAGCACAAAGATCACATATTCATTTATTTTGGTTTAGGAGGTAACAGTCTCCTTTCACTGCACGCACATAATTACTGTAAGCATGCAGGGGACTTGCCAAATGATGCACGGTGGGGAAGAGGAGGAGAATCTTTGAAGAAAATTGTTCAAACGTAATTTAGTTCACTAATTGGCAAGGGACCGTTACTAACGAATTGCTTCTGTTTTATGTCAGTCGTGAATCAGGTTGATGATGTGTAACGTGCATTTAAGTCAGTTAATGAGTGTTAACTAGAAATGTGACTGAAACACCAGAAAAAGGTTTTTTCACCTTGAGCTAGCCCAGCAGAATTGCTAATAAATGAAAGGATATGTGTAAGTGGCTTATGTGATCCCAATCTGCAGTGGAAAGACTTTTCTTAGAATCTGATGGTAACCACAAGTTTGTGGGAAAGAAAAATCAGACGCTTACCGCGGCAGTTCATCACAAGTTGCTTTATTTCTAACCGAGCCTGAAATGAAAATGACTAAAAAGCCATTACCGTAAAATAGCTGATTAGAAGCCGATGCGAACCGAGACAGTGAGCCCCCGGCCGCGGCTACGAGGCCAAGGCACTGCACTGTCGAACACGCCGTGGATTTGCGTGTGTTCCTCTTCCTCCGTGGTCACACGAGGCGGCTCGCTTCACTTTCGCTGCGGGACGAGACACTTGGCGCCTTCCAGCGCACTGGTGTGCCCCTAAGCCCTGGGGTGTGTGTCAAGGAGAAAGACCGTCGCCACAGACACGTCTGACTTTCTTCTCCCAGACGCACGCGGCTTTGGGTGCAGGCAGGAGGCCGCGGGGCTGAAGGGCTGCGGAAGGCACGAAGCCCAGCAGCGCCAGGGCAGAGCTTTCGGGTCAAGGCAGGTCCTGAGCTGTAGCAGTGCTGTGAAGGACGCAGGCTGACCACAGATGGGCAGGCGTGAGAGCAAATATTACAAAATCTGGGCAGAAGGAAGATTTCTGGTTTGCTCTGGCATGTGAACTGACTGGCTTGTTTAGGCCACAGGTGCAAAAAAACGAGAACGCGGGGCTTAAAGTGAGGATAAAACGGAGAACTCTCATGTTCTGCCGGTTTTGTGAAACCAGTGTCAAGCCATGAAACCTGCCAGGTACAGCTGCAAACTCAGGGCCAAGCAGTGGTCTGTCTGCTGTGGGCCGAGCAAGGCAGCCGCGGGGTTGCAGCGCTGGGGTTGCAGCGCTGGGAGGTCGACTGAACATTGAGGGGTGGTCAAGCTTCAGCATTATCTCTACCCAGTCAGGTGGTTCCAGTCTGTCTCTCAACTCTTTCAGACGGCCAACCGGCGTAAAAGCGCAAGAGAGATTCACCGATCCCCACCTTGGACCCCGGCAAGGAAAAAAAACCTGATGCCTGGAGCCAACCTCAAGCACCGCCATGGCAGAAGGTGTCACCGTGCTAACGGCGATGGGGAAGCCGACGTGCCAAGTGACGGCGCTGGTGGCCGAGGTCTTACAATCTGACGCCCGAAAAACTACGGGTCCCATACTTGTCAAGTGGTTGGACTTGATCTTCAAGGGCTTTTCCAACCAAAACGATGCCCTGATTCCTCACCGCTTTCTCCAGAGCTGTCTGACACACACCACGGGAGAAACACGCGACATCCCAAACCACTGCGGCTCCTCAAGCCCTGCCCTGAAACACCCGCGCTGCGTGTCTGAAGTCCCGGGGCTGCTGCTGCGCCGCCGGGCGCGTGGCTCTGCTGTGCCCGAGTGCTTTTGTTTCCCCCTCGCTGCCAGATTTGAACACTTCAGCCAATCAACGCTGCGTTGAGAAGTGCGCCGCGCTCCCTTCCCCACCGTTTCATATTCCAGCATCTCTCTTGCGACGCGTGTAAAGTAACGCAAAGGCTGTTCCTTGAACACCTTTTTTTTAAAAAAAAAAATCTGAGACCATTTTGCTCCTCCCACTCCAGTAAGAGTCATTAGGTCTTGCACAGCACCTTTGCTCCAAGGGGCAAAAAAAATATTAAAAAAATCTTTTTTTCACTTTCGCTGCTGTCATTCTCCTTACCTGCATCTGCAGCCACCAGGTACCTTGATTAAAGTCAGGTTTTAAAGGCAGGGTATTGCGACACGATTTGTAGCGCACAACTGCCTAAGCCACGGTTTAGAAATAAGCTGATACTACAGCCACAGCAACGCTACTTGCAGAGTCAGGGAAAAAAACATTGGGCACCAGCAGAAAATGTGTATAGATTACTTTATCTCTGTATTCAATATAGATAAAATCCTTTCTTCGAAAAAAAAAAAAAAAATCTCCGGAAACCGTAGATAGGACAAAGTTAAGCACCATCTGGCAAACCATGAGACTCGCTGCCTGCTGGCACTGACACCCAAGCGAGTTCATCTCGAAACCGTGCCACTAAATATCGGTGGCATATTGGCAAAGGACAGCTCAGTCACAGAAGGGGGAATTTAGCCAGCGGGAAGGGCAGGGTGAGGGCAAGAGACCGGGATAAAGAAGCACACAGACACCGTTCACATGGAATCACAAATCCTGTACTTTAGAACATCGCACAAGCGCCGTCGGCCGACACTGTCGTGACAGTCACGGTGCCTGCTGTCTCTTGCGCAACCTAAAGCTTTCCCTAGACAAACAAACGCGCAGAAACACTCGTGGCGCGCGGCAGAGTTAAATATCGGCAGACTAGTCAGAACACAGTGCAAACTCACACCTTCCAAACCGTATCGTGTGTCAGAACGAACATCATTTCCTGCCTTCCAGAAGCAACTTCTCTGGTTCGCTGACCTTCCTTTTCTTCTTGGGTCCTGTTACCTCTTCCTGGCTAAACTCAAGGTTCAGGTCGCTTATCTGTAAGAACCATCAGACACAGCGATCATTCTCACGGTACAGGCTCCAGCTAGACGAGTCAAGAAATACAACTTCCAAAGCTACAACGTGTTTTTCCTTGATCCTCTCGGGTTTGTCGAGTGTGATCCTGTTCTCTAGAAAAGCAATTGGGCAAGGAATCAAAATTGGAATTATTGGATGAGCCCAGGACTTGTGAGAGTTGTGAAAGCAACAGGTTCAGCATCAGGGACAGAGAATGGATTTGGCGGCACGAGGAACCGTGCCCGCCTTCCTCTCCGCTGACAGAAAACACCAAGAGCAAGGAGACCTCTGAGAAATAGAAGTGCTTGTCATAGGGCATAGCCTGTTTCAGCATCCTCAGATAATCACACAAGCACGTAAAAGGAGCAGGGAGGACTTAAATTTGCAGTCGCTGGAAACAGCCTTTCAGGAGGAGACAGGCGGTACCTCTATTTGTGCATCAGGGAACTCCAACGCGACTCGGTCGATGACGGATTTTGAAGGCAACCTGTGAGTCTGTGAAAAATCACTAAGAGAAGCAAGTTGTTTCCCTCCAGAAAGACACAAGCCTCCCTCAAAAGCACCCGGGGGCCTACAAACCAAAAGGTTAAAACCCACGGAGTGACGCGCGTTAGAATATAAACAGGTCAAGGGTACAGGCAATTCAGACAGAGCACAGGGAGATGGACAGTCGGAACAGCAGGCGCGGTGTTGGCTGTGCCAAGTGACAGACTCTCTTATTCCCATTATCACACAACATATTTGCATTTTGACAATAATAATCTGGAGCTGCAGAGAGTAACATGTGCCGTCGCCCACCCAGAAGGGACGAAGCACAGAGTCTGGCAACGGAAGTGCTCTCGCTGGAACCGAGCTGAAGGGACACAGCACAGCGCACCGCCTCGACCCTGCCTCCACATGAAAGCTCAGCTGGACGAAAGTGAGGTGGATGAAGAGGGGGCAAGTGTTCTAACCGAGTTCCTGCTCCAGAGCAGGGGGACCAGTTGCACCCTAAACTGCAGGGAATCCCATGGCTGAAGCAGGATAAACACAAGGAGTTAATAAAGAGCTATTCCAGAGCATCCCGGAGACGTGCAAGGTCTCCAGACTACGGAGATGTGGTCATTACAGAATTCCCCACTCGAGTCGTCAAGGCTTGCTTTCAATCTGACCTTGGTATGCGGCTTCGGCAATCTCCGCATAGCATTGGTCTTTCTCATGCGTGAAATAACTGCGATTACGGATTAACAGCACAACTGACTTCGCCCCTCTGTCGTCCTTCAAACTGTTTTTCCTCCCCTCTTCCCTCCTCTTCATTATGAGCAACACGCTGTTGCTTAACGCCGAACGTACACTTCCTTTCCGTAAAAAACAGAAAAAAAAAAAAGAACCTGCCAAAGGGGGACGGGCAGGTTCTCCGTCATCCTGCACACTCGGGCTGACAAAACGTCCGACGCTGCCCAAGGCGTATTTGCTTGAGGGAAGAGAGATGAGTGAATCTCTGTCACAGCTCCTGACCTGATACCCAGCTGCTCAAACTGGCATTTTAGGCAGTTATTTACTTTCCCCCTGGCATCATTCTAACCTGTCTGCTTCCTTTTTCGAAGTAAAGGGCCCCAAGGAGGGAGGAAACGCTGCATCCAAAAGCTCTCCAGCGCTAACGCAGCTGCAGGGTTCGTCCCCTGTCCTGCTGGCCGCACAGAAAAGCCAAGAGATGATCCCAAGTCACCTGGAAAAGGCAGCTCTCCTCCTGCCTCAGCCTAAACCACATCACGAAGGCATGGGGTAGGGTCAGTGGTTTTATTCTCCCTCTGGAGGGGTGGATCTTCTGCAGCACAGACATCTCAGTCAAGTTTTTACCCCTTCGCTACTGCTAAATCTGCCGTGCGGACAGGATAGTTTTGAGGTGGGAGAAATAGCCACGAGCAGCTGCTCCCGCAGAGTCCTTGCAGTTTTCCTCCCCTTCACCGCAGGCAGCACGACCACCTAGCAGGAACTCAAGACGAGAAGAGCAAAAACATCCCTGCAAGCCATCAAAGTGCTCTCGACAGGCGCTGTTCACCTACTGAGGGAATAAGATGTCAACTGCGTGACGGATTTCACCGACGTGTCCTGTCCTGCCCCTGCCCAGCTACAAGTTCACGCAGGAACAGACCCCAAGTCTAACTTCCAGGTCCCATCCTTAACCAAACACTCGAGCTTCTTCCCCACAAACCTTGCTCTAAATGGGATTAAGTCAGATCCTACGCGTATTTATTTGACTTCAACCAGAAAGTAAACCTCTTAAAATGGTGTGGTCAAAAGCAGGAAATCCCTCCCCTTGACTAAACATACAATCAAAGCCTCTAGAAGCTGATTAATTCTAATTTTTCCCATGCACTGGGACGCTCAGCTTAGAATAACCGACGGGACAGCTTGCGCCGCGTGAACATCGCGTCTTACACAACTGCTGGGGGCTCGCCGACGAGCCAGGTGCTGCGGGAGGAGGCGCAGCAGAGCACAACAGGGCAGGTGGGACAAATCCAGATCAAGCAGCAAAACTGGAAGCTGACCCGTGACCTCCCGACTCTCAAGTCCAAGGCATACCTCTGGGTCTAGGTCGCGCCGCGAACGCGCCGCGTGCACGAACCTCCCGCTGTACGATATGGCGCTACATGTGTCAAGGTAATACGTCGCGGCAGGATTTTTCTGAAAAAAAATACAGCTAACTTGTGAATCATAGGAGAGTTACTAATTTCTGGCAGAAAACGAGCAGGACAGCTGCACATTGTCTGGAGAAGATATCAGGCTAAAAATAGATTAGACTTAGATTAAAGCCCTTCCCAAGGCAGACTGGTGGACGAAACAGAATGAGCAGACCACAGCTCCTCTGCTATTCTTAGATAGACAAAATCAGGGCCTAGTTTTGCGCTCCGCGATCCTCAATCCCCTGTGTCCCCACGTATTGCGGCCAAAAATTCACAGCATAAATCGAAGCAAATTTACAGCTCTTCTGACATGTGTTTTTCTTCCCAAGCCATCCCATGCAGCAAAGCTAAAATTGCACAAGAGCGTTCGGCTGTGTCGCTTTTTGTTCCTGGCCTGCCCCATGCTGAGGATTGGCACTTGGTGAATTTTATGCCCTCAGAAGAGTCGCCTTTGTCAGGGACAGGGAGCATTTAGTTTGGTACCTTGTAACTATCCCAACAAACTCAGAAGCACATTCAGGTCAGAAGAATCACAGAATCCTAGACTGGCCTAGGCTGGAAGGGACCTTAGAGTCATTTAATCCAGCCTCCCTGTCATGGGCAGAGACGTCTCTCAACTAGATCATGATACTCAAGGCTTTGTCCAACCTGGCCTTGAACACCTCCAGGGAGGGGGCAGTCACAACATCTCTGGGCAATTTATTCCAAAGTCTTGCTGCCCTCGTACTGAAGAATTTCTTCCTAAGGTCCAATCTAAATCTATTCTCCCTCAACTTAAACCCACTTCCCCTTGTCCTATCGCTGGACACTCTTGTAAAAAGTCCCTCCCAGCCTTCCTGTAGGTTCCCTTCAGGTATTGGAAGGCAGCTATTAGGTCCTCCTGAAAGGAGCCCGGTTCCATCAGGCCAGTGAGGAGAATGAGCCCGGAGACGCAAGACTTAACTGCTGAAGTAAGGCAAAACCGACCTCAGGGGTCAGGACAAGGGAAGGTCTGTCACCATTTAATGGAAATTTAATCAGAGAGAGCCAGCGCCTGATGTATCCTGCGATTTCAGCTGCAGCTAACACGGACTCAAAAGCACAGTAAACATTTTGCACTTGCAAAAATCAAGCCTGAAACTTTTCAGGAGATCCCCTAAGACCCGAGACCCTCCCTGGTGAATGGCCACTTCACTTTGGTTGGTGATAATTCCCATCTACTCACTGACAGTTGGCTGCTCCACGCTCTCCAAGCACAGCAAAAACCAAGGTGACCCACAAGATAACGGCTGGAATCGATGATCTTAAAGGTCTTTTCCAACCTAAACAAGTTTGTGATTCTATGAAATGGGCACAAGCTGAAATACAGGACATTTGCCTTAAATTTTGTTTTTCTTTTCCCCACTGTCAGGGCAATCAACTACCAGTTGTCTGGGGAGGCTGTGGAGTCTCCATCCTTGTTGATATTCAACAACCTGACTGGACCAGGTCCTGAGAAACCAGCTCCACCTTAGCCTGCTCTGAGAAAGCAGGTTGGACACGCGGATCTCCGACCGTCCCTTCTGAGCTCAGTGATTCTTCGCAGGCGGCACAGCGGTTAAACGCTCGACGTGGGGCTCAGCACCGATCTCGTATCAGTTTCCAGTGAAGCAATCACACTGACATCAGTGGAATCAATCCTGGTTTTTCATCTGTACAAGTGGAGGAGAATCATGCTGGTTAGCGTGAAAGCAAATTTACGCAGGTGGAAGAATGAAAGACGCTCACTGTGGTGCTTCTTTGGAAACTTGCCACGGTTTTGTCCCCAGGAAGCCATGCCAGCACATCACTGCCTACCACTAGTCCTCTTCCTTTTCCATAGCTCACTGTTAACATCTTTGACCTTCAACGCAATTTCTTTTTCACTAACTGGAAGTCTCACAGGCCTGCTCTGTACCTCACGTATCTCGTAGCATTTAAAGCACTAAGCAACAGATTTTTCCAGAGCGTAAAACGAAAAACGCTTCAGAAAATACCTGTTGAAAAGAAATAATTTATTAATCTCTCTACTTATAATCTCTTCCAGGGCCCTCAATCACACTGCACGGTGCCGTTCCAGCCATTCTTATTGTCATCTCACGATCCAATACACCTCCAAAATCCAGAAGCCTTTCCCCTGTAGGATTATTGTAACCGAGGAGGCAAAAAGCAACGGACACTCCTGCCCAGCTTAAGCCCTCGTGGGATGTTAGATCTCTCCAACCTTAATTTAGGCAGATTTTCTCTAGAGGGCTTGGTTGTATGTTATGAGTAACTGTACAGGCAGACAGCGCAGAAGCTCCACATCCTCCCACCACGTCCCTGGGGTAGGTGTCAGGACATCTGAGGGCACAAGGGTTAAATCTCCCCGGATCCGTGGGGTGCTCACCGCTGAATGAAACTGTTTCCTACACACTAGACAGAGATAACTCACGCATGGGCTGAATGGCCCCCAGATAGAGCTAAGGATCTGACGTGGATTGAGAGGAGCCAGGAATTTCCTGACCTCCCTGTCTCACTCCTCCCAGAATGGCCTGAGCTCACAGGAAGGAGAGAGCAAGCTCATCTCCGAATCTTTCTCTCTCCATTTTCTGGGTCTGCGTAGCCTCAGCTGGTTTTGTAGGAGAAAATGTTCTGGGAACTTCTCATCAGATACAGCTCTCTTGATAGACAGTTAGAGATAAACCTTTTCTTTTTTTTTCCTTTGTGTCTTTTCTGCAAAAAGTTCAAGATGACATTGCCACAGAAAAATGCTTTCCTATTGCTCTGCAAATGGCAGGCTTCACCCTTCAACCGCTTTCCGTCGCAGCAGTTTTCACAGTGGTTTGCCTGGGAACAATCAAGACAATGAAGGTCTTGATGTCCAAGCTGTTCGTCTGCAATTGAGTCCCCGTGTGCTGACCTTCACTTTCAGACAGAAGCTGTGGCCAACACGGAAGCCCGACAAAGGTGCCCGCACCTCCATCGGGATGGCCACAGCCTCGGGTACCGACAGGACGCTGATCACTGGCAGACGCGACAGATGCTACATGTCACCCAGGAAGGATCGCGCTCGCGCTGGCTTCCTTCCCTGCCCCAGGCCCCAGGGGAAAGAGGACATGGCCAGGTAGCCAAGTTTGCTGAGGAGCAGCAGCTGGAGGCCAGACAGGCTATCCTCTGAGGTCTCAACCAGCGCTGATTTAGGTATGAATCTCTCCCCAGACATCGCCCTTCCAGACAGCTCCAGTTAAGGAGCTGATCTGCATGGCAGGAGCTTGCCTACAGCAGGCCAGGAGGCGCAGAGCAGAGATCCCCGAGCTGTCACCGATCCCGACTGGTATGTCCAAGCAATGCCAAGTGTCAACAAGCTTCCTCGTGTCCCACAGCGGCCTCAGAGCATGAGCACGGCCAGGTCAGCGGCATAAGCAGCATCTGGCTCTACCAAAGCCAGAAACTTGGGAGGCAGAGCCGGCCTGTGCTGTGTTGATACGGCCGTACTGTTTCCAGCTCTGGCGCAGGCTCGGTCAGGGGCGATTCAGGGCTCTCTGCACGGCTGCTTTGCTGCACAGCGAGCCTGTGCTCTAAGGACCACCCCAGAACTTCAGCCCACAGCTTCCTGATGGGAGATAAAAGCTTGCAGAGGCGTCCACACGGTCAGATTTTACTCATCTTCTAGTTCTGTTTCATTCCAAGCTCATTCCACCGCAACATGTTTGCTTACACGAAGGCAAAGCCGACCAAAATCAATCTGCAGGACACAAACATTCACAAGGGCCTAGTGTGCTGAAGAATTTAAAAAGTTACCAGCGCCAGACCCCCTTCTCACCAGCACATTTCTAGAAGCTAACCCAAAGGGCAGCGACTCCCTGTTTTGCCCATCTCTCCACAACTTCCAGAATGCCTTCAGGAGGCATAAAGATAACGCGCGGGCCAAACCCGGGGCTGACGCAATCCGAAACAACCTCTCCTGAAGCGAGCAGAGGTAAGCTAATTTCCACGCTGGTGTCTTAACTCCGGATGATTAAGTACAGAGATGCTCTGCTGAGAAAGGGCAATCTCTCATTCGATCCTAAGCATCATCAATCACGAGATTGCAGATAACGAGCCCGCTGAGTCCATGTAGATGCTTCTCCCGTCTGAAAAGCCCGTTGTCAGAGACCCCATGGCCATTGCCAACGGCCGGTTCGAACTGGACAGGAATAGCTGCTTCGCTTTTTGACAGATCCACATCCTTCGCCTCTCCCGTGTCGATGAGACAAAAATAAACCTTTAATTGCCTTC